GCCATATAGGGCTCCCCCGTCTGATTGCAGATTTTTGAAGGGGACCTTTCAGAAAATTGGACAAAAATCTAAAAAAAATTATTTTGCTAGATTTTGATGCAGATTTATAGAGAATCGATCTACAAATCGATTGAGGTATTCCGCTCAAGAATCTGATGATCATTGCCAAAGATATGGCCATCGCTGGGAGCCATATAGGGGTCCCACGTCTGATTGTAGATTTTTGAAGGGGACCTTTCAGAAAATTTGACAAAAAATCTAAAAAAAATTAGGTTGTTAGATTTTGATGCAGATTTATAGAGAATCGATCAGCAAATCGATTGAGGTATTCCGCTCAAGAATCTGATGATTATTGCCAAAGATATGGCCATCGCTGGGAGCCATATAGGGGTCCCACGTCTGATTGTAGATTTTTGAAGGGGACCTTTCAGAAAATTTGACAAAAAATCTAAAAAAAATTAGGTTGTTAGATTTTGATGCAGATTTATAGAGAATCGATCAGCAAATCGATAAAGGTATTCCGCTCAAGAATCTGATGATTATTGCCAAAGATATGGCCATCGCTGGGAGCCATATAGGGGTCCCACGTCTGATTGTAGATTTTTGAAGGGGACCTTTCAGAAAATTTGACAAAAAATTAGTTTGTTAGATTTTGATGCAGATTTATAGAGAATCGATCTACAAATCGATTAAGGTATTTCGCTCAAGAATCTGATGATTATTGCCAAAGATATGGCCATCGCTGGGAGCCATATAGGGGTCCCACGTCTGATTGTAGATTTTTGCAGGGGACCTTTCAGAAAATTTGACAAAAAATCTAAAAAAAAATAGTTTGCTAGATTTTGATGCAGATTTATAGAGAATCGATCTACAAATCGATTAAGGTATTTCGCTCAAGAATCTGATGATTATTGCCAAAGATATGGCCATCGCTGGGAGCCATATAGGGGTCCCACGTCTGATTGTAGATTTTTGAAGGGGACCTTTCAGAAAATTTGACAAAATATCTTAAAAAAAATTAGTTTGCTAGATTTTGATGCAGATTTATGGAGAATCGATCTACAAATCGATTAAGGTATGCTGCTCAAGAATCTGATGGTTATTCCCAAAGATAGCCTTCGCAGGGAGCCATATAGTGGCCCCACACATTTTTGAGATTTTTGAAGGGGACCCCAGAAAATTTGACAAAAAATTTAAAAAAAATTAGGTATGTTCCTAGATTTTGAAGCAGATTTGTGGAGAATCGATCTACAAATCGATGAAGGTATTTAATTTTAAAATTTTAAAGAAACCCCAGAAAATTTGGAAAAGATTCCTTTAACTTATGTGGTTTTTGGATTATGGTAGAAATTGATAAAGAATAGATAAAGAAAGATTTAAGAACCTTCCGCTTTGGAATCAAATGGCTTTTGTCAAAGATGGAGCCTGTGCCATTGGTAAATTGGCCTTTCTACCATATGTATTCTATAAATTTAGTTCGTGAAAAGTGGTTTTCCTACAGGTTGTTGTTTGGGTTAATTGGTTTGAATTATTAAGCACATTGCAGTTTTAATAACTGTTTTCATAAAAGTATAAGCCCCTGATTACAGTCTAGACCAGTGTTTGTAGAAGCGCTTGTGGCCACAGCTCGACCTTTTCTGATGAAGAATATAACCTTATTCGAACATTTGTCTAATTGGTCCTCGTTGGTCCTCAAATGCGAAAACAATTACATCACTCAAGTCAAAAGCGGAGGATAAAGGGTACAAAGCCGCGGAGAAACACCAATAATCACGCAACGCACTTAGCCAAATTTCGAGCAATTAAATCTTTAAATCGCACTCAAAAGCTGTTTCGACCCCCCTCCGAGCCTCCGACGGCTATTTCCTTCGTTTCGTATTATTTTTCCTTCTAAAGGGGCAGAGAACTAATTATAAAACGGATGCGCCGCATTTTGAGCCCCAAACCCCCAAGCCCTGTTGCATCCCTTTGCTCCTACTGTTTGCGGACTTTGGCCTGGCTGGGAGCGCTTTGTTTAAGGCCGCAAGTCCCGACCAAAAAAGGGACAGATAAATGCGACGGTCTGCTCCTAAAATAACAGTATTTTGCATAATTGTTGACCCAGAAAGTCTGAAAAGAAAGTAGCAACAAAATAGTCAGGACTTGAAACGGAGAGATGCTGCGAAGAATGTAATTTCTTTCGGGGGGATGGGATATTTCGTTTTCATTTTCGTTTTGGTTCGTTTTTTATTCTCCTTCGGCGTCGCTGTGGGAACCGCCAGTGATTTGTAATTAGGAAACGGCCGCCAACTGTCGCCTTGGTTTTGGCCTGGCTTGGACGTTGCCACGCCCCATTTGCACCGCAGCGAGGGCGATGTCAAAGGCAGCAGCGGCGGCTAGAGGCATTAGCGAACGTTAAATACCCAAGTGCCATCTGCTGGGCTTGCAAACAAGCTAGAAAAAAATAAAAAAAACCAAAAAGGTGACCGGGTAAAATTAAATGAATGAAAAGTGCTGGAAGAAAAGTGTAAAGCAATGGCGGTGACGCCTGCTGCTACCTCACACCACCCACCGTTCACCTCCGGCTACCCGTTTCCCATCATCTACCAACCGGTTGGCCATTTTCGCAGTTTGCGGCTTGGCGGGTAATGAGGAAATGACGGGGGTCCGGACAAGGGGAGGGATTTGGGTGTGGAAACTGTGGCAAAGATTTCTTATACCATACCCATACCAGCAGAAAGTTGTGCGTAGTTGCTGAAAGTTTATTAAACATTTAAATTCACTCTTTCCTTTTGGGACTGCTCCTTTCGTTCTCAATTCGGCTGTCTCCTTTCGCCCTTTTTGTTTTTGGCCCAATCTGTGCGCAGGGGAAATGACCAAAAATTGAAATTATTTCATGTCCGGTGTCACCATTTTGGACTTCCGGTTGGGGTCCTCGTTCGGGCACCCTTTTACGTTCCTTAAAATGAATCCATTGATGCAGAACTTTTGAAACTTCATTCTCAACGGAAATTTATAATTCTTGGGCCAGCGACCTTGGGTCATCCTTGTTTACTCATGTCCTGCAAGCATCCGATTCTCAGAGTGTTGAGACCAAGAAAGGGATGCCTTACTCTCTGCATAATTTCGGGAAATATGTTTCCAGCTTTTGGGAGTATTTCACAAAAGTTTTGGTTCAATGATTTACGGCATGGAATCCTTCATCAAACCGAACTTTTCTGGAACAAAGAATGTGGTGAGATTCATGGCAAAAATAGTTAAGTCTATGAAAACTAATAAAGTTGCCCCTTGTCCTTTTTCCTTTGCTTTTGCCGCAAATATATATATAATTCAGTTAAAGGGATAAGTCGAGTTCTTATAAGTATGCAAAAATAGCCAACCTTAATCTTGAGACCACAAAAGCTCCCCAAAGAACTTTTGCCAAATCAACAGGAACGAACACTTTCAATACGAATACATCCTGGCTGGCAATAAAATCGGTTTTAAGCATAATCCTATGCCAGCGTAAATCCCATTCAAACCGCTCGGCTTGGCTTTGATTCCAAAAGCCCCAAAAACTTTGCAGCTCACAAATTGAATGCAGTTTTCGTTTTTTTTTTTTTTTTTAAGAATATATGAGTTTGTGTGTGTGAGCTTGTGGCCATGTTCCTCCTCTTGGCCAATCCACCTTTCTGTGCTTGGAGAGCGGACATAATAGGCACTATAGAAACCAGCCCACAAACATCCACAGCCATATTCATGCCCATACTGATTAGGGAAAAAGCAGGTGAAACTCATCCTTGAGGCGGTGACGTTGCACTCGGAAGTTAGTCAGGACCCGTAGCCCAGAAAATGGCAATAATGAAATCAAAATGTGAATGCCCTTTGCATTTCCTACTTACAGTTTGACCCTGTTACGGCCCGGAGATTCTCCACAGAGAAAAAACTCTATAGAGTCTTATAAGCTTGATGTCTCTTCTGTACATGAGTCCTTCAAGCATTTTTCACAGTATTTCCTTTGCTTAGAAGGACTTCCCTCCGCTTTCCACTCCCACACTGAATCAGCACTCATTAGTTCTCTTTTTGAAAATTTTACGGCACGCCCTGGCTGCATAAAATCTGCATTTGAATGAAGGATTCAAAAAGTTTCGGCAGATCCGATTTTTGGTTAAAAGTCTAAATTTAAGAGGTATTTGTTATATACATAATACTACAAATATTAAGTTTATGTTTGAAAACAGCAAGCATTATAAATGGCGGTTAAAATGGCTGTTTTATTCGAATTCGGTGGCAACGCCGGCTTAAATTTCAATGTTCTTTTGGCCAAACAAGTACCCAAGTCTGAAATCCAGTGTCTACCTAACTTTCCGCAATCGGCAATGTTTGTGGGTCATTTCCATTTAATTAGTGGCCCAGTCAGGGCAGGAATTTCTTTTATTTCGATTTCTTTTGATTGTCCCCCACTTTGATTTGGTAGCCAGACACAATGAGGCCCGGCAACAATTGGCGTGCATCGGAGGCCTTAATGGAAATTCGCAAATCAAATCCCTCAATCCTTTCAGGCACGATTGTCCTTGATGTTCAGCCCGAATTCAGACAAAGAGTTGACCTTGACCCGATGATGTCCATTGCCGAGCTCTTTGTGCCTGACTGGGATTAATTTGATACTTTTGCACTCAGTGGGCTTCTGCCATTTTAACCGAAATTCTCTTGAATTTATTTAAAGCTACATAGCTTATATTTGCATATTAAAAAAAAATATTTTCCATTTGTACTGGGCTTAAGTTACTCTTTTTGTGGGGTTTTTACAAAAGTTATTGAAAATAAAATAGATTTTTAAAGCATTTTTAAGTAGAAATTTTTAACATAAACAATTGTTTATGATTTAGCTTTTCTGTTACATAACATAGCATAACTTACATAACTTAATTGCCATTCACACGGGAGGTTATCGATAAGACACTTTTTTAGCCATCCCTAGTATTTGACGCTGTTTTTTTTTTTTAAGACAAAATTGTATACAATAATTTGTTAGTGTTAAAATGACCACTAGCCCTTTTTCTCTTGGATCCGAGTCTGGTTCTGACTTCTTCGATGATGAGGAGGAAATAGTTGTCTGCAGCGACAATGAATTCGATGAATCTGGGATCGATGACGACAGCTTTGCCGCCGACGACACGAGTTCTGCCACCGAGAGTCTGATGGTGCCATCGGAGGATTCCAGCGGCATCCAAGGTGGCAGCGGCCTCCAAGGTGACCTACGGCACTTGATGTTGGCCATAGACGCCTATGTTGCCCAAGTAGCTAATCAGCAAACAGATAATGGTCCGGTAAATGCAGAACCACGTGGTAGTTGTTATGTTTCAGAATATGGAGTATATTCAGTTCTCTCTCAGGATAATATAAAATATAATAATTTTGGTGTATCAACTTGCCAAATAATCTTTCAGGTTTTTTCACTGCCGCTTCCCGGCTTTGAGACTCTTCGTCCCGGCCCAACCCTCGGCGAACACTTCTCAGTCGATGCCATGAACATGGCCACCATGCTGCTAGAGGCGGCAGCTAACCAGTGTGAGCCCCGCCTGGTCGTGGGAGAATCCACAGTGCGATCCATTGCCCACGGCCTAAGCTTGGCTATTGGAAACACATCCCTGGATGGCTTTGTGGGACAAGGGCGATACGGAGAGGGTCGTTTAGTAGCCACCATTCTAGTCAATAGCGATACGGGCGTGGTTTCAGCCTATGCGGTTGCCCAGTTGGAGCCTTATCTTATCGCCGATGCCACCACCGGGGTTGTGCTGGGCTCGATGCTCTACCACGTGACTCGGGGCTTTGCTATCGATGAAATATCCCGCAATTCTGTGACCGATGCTGCAAGACGTCCCCTCTTGAGTTCTAACATGATTCCGTTAGAGTAAGTGTCCCATCTTTCAAAAAGGACAATGTTTAACTTATTTTAACCAAATCGCATTTATTATTAATGAGTTTAACGTTGAATTTTTAACAAAACAACATACATATCGATATTTGTGAAAACAGACTAGCATGAAACATAATTTTTGCCAAACCATTTAAAATTGTAATCTATAATTTTATTAAAAGACAAGAGATTATTGCAAAAATTGTTATTTTTAAATTATTTTGGTAAAAAGTATAAAAGTTGAGAACAAATAAAGTGTGATGTATGAAGACTGAGTCAGAAGACTATATCATATAAGAGAACTGAATGTACATTAAATGCTCCCGAAATCTGTTCTAAACATCATTTAAAAGCAAAAATATATTTTTGAAAGATTTAGAAACAAATAGATTTTATACTTGCCTTCAAGATGGAAAGAAAATATTGTTATGGGATTCTGTTTTATTATTTTATTGTATGTAATGCAATAAATTTGTCAGTTAAAGTTTCACATAGTTCTTAGTTTCGTTTACATATGTATGCGTAAGTATTTCGTATTAGTCGGTACTTAACAATAAACTTTGCTATATCATGGAGTACACGAGTGTTCGAGTGTCGGTATTTAAAATGTGACGCCCACACCTTCTAATATACTTCTTCTTTTTGCTACTCCTGCTTCGGTTTTGGGAGGACGTTGCGTAATGCGTATTATTTACAAATAGTTTTGGGTGTTTTGATAATTACACGTACATATTCCATCTATACGTTAATCGAGACGATGATGATGAAAAACACTTAATAGCTTAGAAATGTATTTTGATTTTGATTCGTATAGTACTCGCTATGGTCATATACGACTTGCCGCTTAAATCTAACAAAGTTTCGTATTCAGATTCAGTGTTGTGGTAAACATTCAGTTTTTATGGGCTGTCCAATGGGCTGTTGGTGGCTTTTTGGCGGTAAAATATAGGTTGAAAGTTAAGTATTAAATACGCGGGCGCCCTCACAGACTGTGGGTGGTAATTCAAAGGCGGTAAACCGCAGACCGCAAGCATTTGATGCATGCAAACGGTAATGTGTTAATTGTCGACACCCGTGAAAAGAATCCTGGTTAATTCTCACCAGGATCCTCCCTTCCATTCGATACACTGACCACAGAAATTTATTTCCGTGTGTTTTTCCGTTCTCGCTTCGGGGATGTTTGCTCCTCCAGCTGCTTGCGGTTGCCTTGGCAGAGTTCAATTTTTTAAACGCTCAAAGGTCGAGCGCATCAAGTATACGCAGGGTGTGACAGAGTATCGGTTTGCCTTCGAGCAATCACACACGCATAATTAATGCCGCTTTGATGGCATTGTTGGAGTTCGCGACTGGACTAGTGGGGAGTGCGTGTGGCATGCACCTAATTGCAATTAAGTTGCCGCAGCAGCCTCCTCAGCTTTCACGTAGACGTCAAGCCGGGACGACGGTCGACTTTAATTAATTTCAGACAATTTTTATGGGATTTTCCGTGGATAGTGGAGTGCACGCGTATATTCGTATATGTGTGAGTGTAATTAAAAAGGACATTAAGTGGATAAATAAATACGAGCCGGATGGGCTTGCGGGTTGGGGGCTGCACACACACGCACACCGTGTGTTTACATTCTGTCCGTTTGATTTCGGTTTATTTATTTCTTTGACTGCCTTTGTTTTCCTTTGCCCGCTATTTATTTATGCATATATGTATATATGTATATATTTATTTATTTGTATCGTTTAAATGCAATTCATTAGTGTTTGGAATACGTCTCTGGTTGGATTCTGCCATTTATATTATTTGTATATTCAATTAATTTACATTTTTGTTGAACAATTTCGCAATAGAGTTATATACAGTTCGCGAGTCAGTCCGCTCAATCCAATAAATTTACTTTCGTTATCAATTAAATTGTTTTTGTTTGCTTTTCTCCCCTGGGTCCTGTCCTCTGCACCCTGTCCAGCCTGCAGTGTCCTGCTGGCTGTCCATTTCGATCAATGCATGTTTATATTTTCTATAATTTTTTTTTGTTCCTTATGCAATTATTTACTTTATGAATTTTGGTTTTTGCCGCATGTTTCGAGCTTGTTCGTGAGATAAGAGCACATAAAATAGAGTTCCATAAATTGGCCATGCAAATCTTTGCATTAAGTGTCGCACAAAAATCAGACAGTTTATAGTTGTGGGAGTTTCTTCTCTGTCCGCAGTAGATAATTCCAACCAAAACTCTTTCAACATAAACCAAATAAAAATTGTTGTTTCTGATCTTTGGGACGGCCTCTTCGAGGGTATGCAGTTATGAGTAAATTTATTCGATTTCCTACAAAAACGAGGTCACCGTCTAGTGGCCAGTATTTGCTAAAAATAATAAATTTTCCAAAAATTGTCCAGGGAGTGCGGGCGTGAGGGAGACCAGGGGGTCAGGATGAGTGAAATACGGCTAATTGAAAAGTTCAGCATGTTGCCACATAGGAAGGAGACAGCAAATATTTTTCCAGACTCGAATTGCCATGCAAATGCATTCGAGTTGAATTTTTCCGAAAATGCATTCGTTTGATGGCAGAAAATTCCCTCCTCCGTCCGTAGCACTTCGCCTCCCTGTGATTCGTTCATGCGATCCGAATGGGTTCAGGATATCGATGCAATTTCACATCGAACTGCATAAATATTTACGGTTATGCATTTATGCAAACTCACTCAGTATTTGCCGCAAAACAAAGCCTCTCTCGAAACTAAAACCAAAACTAAACCTGCACTACAAAAATCAGGGGTCGGCCTTACACTAAGGACTTATAGGCTAGTTCGCTTAGAGCTGGTAGAACTTACAATTAGCAGGGCTAGGGATCTTATTCTTTATCTTTTCTTTGAGGGGAAACGGTCTGGGAGTAATCCAGGGATTATGGACTTATCCTCTATACGTATTGGTTATTAGTTAGTGGATAAAATCAACTAGCTTACAACATGCACTCGATTATTACGTTTAATCTCCATTTTGGTTTTTTGTTTCACTTCCGCTTCCGCTTCGGTTTCTGTTTCGCTTTCTTTATCGGTTTTATGGCTTGCTTTTGCTTTTCTTTTTTCTATTTTCGTCTAACAATTTTATATATTTTCCATTGGCAGAGTTGTGGGCAGAGACCATGCTCCTGTGATGCTTCAGTTTGGTTTTCGGGCTGCGACATGTCATGTTCGATGGCCCACTCCAATCAGGATAACGCTCAGAAGGAGGGCCTGGACGCAGAGGGCATAGGCCCGGGTGGTGGCTGCCGATGAAGTGACCGCCGAGGCCGATGATTCGCCTACGGAAATTCAAAGAAAAAACATCGTTGGCAAAAACTCGAAACGAAATTCCCCCCAGAAACCAAAATTTCCGCTCTGCAACTCACCATTTATTATGTTCAGCGTTACGGTCGCACTGGGGCTATTCGACGGGCTACATGTGTAATTGCCAGTATCGCGCTTCTTGGCCGACTCGATGATTAATGAGCCAATCTAGAACAGAGAGAAAAAGAAGCAGAAACAGACACACCATTACTACTAGCAGGTCCAAGTGCCCAAGGAAAAGTTTGGAAAAGTAAAGATAAACGCTGCCAGTTTCCACTCGGACATGGACACACGTATTCCAAATATTTGGCATGTGCCGGAACAGGGCACAAAGTTATGGCCAGGCAATTAGCCGAAATGCGACACGACTCGGATGAAACTTTTTGGAAACAATATTATAATTTGGCATTTGCACAGCCCAGCAGCCAAGAAGGCATTGGAAATTGAGTGTAATTAAATTAAAATCAACAAGGGACTCTTTGTGCCACAGCTAAATGGAATGAAAAAGCCTCTAAACTACAGAGAGAAGTAAAGACTTTATTTTCCATTCAATTTGCTTTGATGTGAGCAGTTTTCATTTTTTTAAAAACTCTTAATATTATTCAAATATTTTCTAATAATTATTATTCAAATATAATATATTCTTTATTATAGAGAACTCTTCTTTAAAGTTATAAATACGATTAAAAGCCTTTTTAAATGACTTACTTCTTGAAAGAAAAGTATTGCCTTGTTTTGAAAAAAAAATAGTCATAGTTTGTAAAATATTTGTACTCAAGGTATGTCTTTGTTACCCTTCTGAGATAGTCCCACAATTATGATACATTAGATTAATAAATAATTTATAATAATATCCCTTTTTCGTAGTGTACTCACCGTGCTCAGTCCATCGCCGGTGGCCTCCGGCAGATTGGGATCCAACTGGATGCGATGGCGCCGGGAGTCGGCGGCTAACTGCTCGGCCCCGTGATACCACATGATGAACGTGGGCGGCTCCAGGGCGCCGCGTACGATGCAGCGGAGGACCACGTTGCTGCCCGCCTTCACGTAGCGATCCGGGTCGCCCAGGATCTCAGTGCGGGGAACTGCCGGAAACGTGGAAGAAAGCAAGATAGAGCGGGCATAAATGGAAGTGGCAAATTCGACGCTCCTAAATTGTGTCATTTCGCTAATCTAATGAATTAACAGCTGCGAGTCACGTCGCACACGTAAATCTGGCTGTGGCAGAGCGCCACTTGCCACTTGCCTCACCTCATCACGCCTCGTGTGCCTCGGCTGCTCGGCTGAAGAAAATCCACTTTTCAATTTTTCACTTACTGATTCCTGCTTGCGAGCAGCCCTCTATCCCTCGGCAATTTTTTGGCCAACAGACACGCACATGCATAACAAACTAAGAGTTGTGTCAAACAAAAATGGTAGAACGGCAACAAAAAGGCGAATAAAAAAGGCACACACAGTGGCGAACAAGTTGGATATGTTGGCGCATACATTTTCACACGACCTTCCTATCCTACCGCCTCGAGGCGCCACCACCCCCTTCAAAGGGGCGTCTTCATTTGGTTGGGCAACATGAAGCAACGTGAGCTTTGAAATTTGACAAAATCACGTATACGCCGAGTTTTCACTGCTGTTACACAAAAATGTGCAAAATGAGTGCGCCGAGAATTTACACAAAATGCTCTACTATGCCCCAGAGTATCTGTGTGTATGTCAGGATTCTATGTGTGTATGCGTAATAGTTGAGAGTGTATTTATATGCGAGCTGTAGTGGAACACGCGCCACGCTCTGGTTTGACACCAAACTGTGTCAGCTTGTCAAAATCGTCATGTTGTTGCATGTTAGTTTTCCAGCTGCTGGAGATGGAGATGCGCAACACAGCAGAACACTAAAAAAATTATAAAAAAAAAATTGACAAAAAAAAAACGGAGGGAAACGAAATGTGGCAGATGGAGCAGCAGCAAGTGCAATGTTATTAGCAAATGTTCCACTTTATCGCCTCGCAGCTCGGCTCTGTAGGGAATTACGGCCCTCCTCCACCCGCCTTAAAAGCGGGTAATTTTCGAGTTGGAAAGACATGAAATGAAAATTGTGAAAACTGCGACACGCATATGGAACTAATTAAGTCAGCCTGGAATGGGATTCGGCTAATTAGCTGACAGCTTACTTTTTAATTAAGAAATAGCGAGAGAATACCTTCGTATTATCTGTTGGATTAGTTTTTACACGCAATTTATTTCATATCAATCATAATTCTTAAAAGTTTAGGAAGGCGCTCTCAAGGGTTTAGGGGTTTGAGCTTTCAGCTGTCAGAAATGATTTTAAACATGTTTCTTTTCATGTTTTTAAATGGTTTTTATGCTTACAAGGTGGAGAAAATCCATCCCCTTATTAAAATTTTTATGTTTTATGTGAAAATGCAAATTAAATCAATAGATCTTCTTCGGGGAAAAGCATCGTAATTGGTAATTGATAATCCCTTTCGGAAGGAACAAAACCAATGAGTAGTCTAATGACATAATGAATATCTAAGTGTTTGAATGAAAACGTTTTCAAATGAATTTAATTAACTTAGTCGATGGTCGAACCATTAGGGTCTCGCCCTTTAGAAATTATTTTGTAAAATAAAAGGGAAAGAAACCAAAAGAAAACCGCAGAAAGCCGAAAACTTGGCGAACAAACTAAAGTTGACCACACTTTCAGCTAATTCTCCGACGAGCACAAAAGGGAGTAACGACCCGAAGGGGAACCAACTTGGTTAAGAGTGTCAAGCGAATTGCAGCAACTTAAATTAATTGAGTTTATGGCGAAATGCTTTTAGGGAAATTAGTTGAGTCTGGCTGCCATTCGGGGAGGTGCACGAAAACATCACAGGGAATATTGTCATCTTTGATGGTGAGATAAAATACCCACTGCCATGTCCAAAAGAAGCATAAAAAAAGTGAAGGGAAACCCCAAAAATTGGCTTCGGCTATACAAGATTAGCAGCAAATTAAATAAGCAGACCGAGCGGGCCAAGAATGAATAAGAAGGCTGTCAGAGAATGGAAAGCTCGAACGACCCGGACGGAGGAGATGAGATGAGCTGAGCAGAAAACGAATCCCATAAAACCAAATCTAGTTTGTCGTTCAATGATGCAGAAAAAAATATATTCATTCATTCGGCATTCATGTGTGTGCCTGGCCACCACCATGGGTGTAAATGGTATTCCATTCACCCTCAACCTTAACCCAAATAATAGGCATCCATGTACATAATAGGGAAAAGTTTTCTGGAAGGGAGTTTTAAAAGATTATTTGGTAAGTTTACAGGAAAGTAAACTTGGTGTTTTTGCGGCATTAAAACGATTTTTCTCCATTGTGCTGGCCGTTTCAGTGACCTAGAATCTTGCGTAAATGAACCAAAACCAAAGAAACTGACATTTAACCAACAACAAAGCAAACAAGGCCATTCTTGGCCAGCCATTCCAGCCCAGCCTTTCTGGCCCTTACGCATTGGCATAACAAATTGACCGAAAACTACGAGCCTATTACCCCAACTTTTGCTCCCAGTCCGAATCTGGCTCAGAAATCAACCAGCAGGCAGGGAAAGGCCAAAGCCTCAACATAAAATCCATTGCCAAAGACTCGGAATCGAAATCATTCAGCGCCAAAGATGGGGTGAGAGGTCAAAAAGGGTGCACTGGGAAAAATGTTTAACTAAGAGCTTTTAATTGCAGCATCTCAAAGTTAATAATTATCTCAAATTTTAATTAATCCCAAATTTATTAAGTGAAACTAATTAAAAAGAATCTTTGAAAGAAACCCCGAGTATACCTATTTTCCCGTTTCCCCTACCATTTTGTATATATTCCTTTTTCCTGTATATTTTCCTTTAAGATTATTTTTATATGGCTTATTATTTTTCCAAGTGTAGGGTGGGTGGTGGCAGCAACTAGGCGAGAGCCGACAACATGCAAAGGGAGTTTTAGCCGTTTGCACAGACAAAACGATGCAATAAATACAAATTACATGGCAAAGGCACAAAATCAGCCAAGCAGCGCGACACCAAAGGGAGTAGTGGGTGGCTGGGTGAGAAAAACTGCAAGGGTGGTCAGAGATGGAGGGTGGGGCGTGGGGGGTTAGGTGCTGCCGATAATGGTTATGGCCAGTTGAATTGGCCGAAAAAGGAAGGAAAAGGAAGACCACGCACAGCCAGAGCCAAATTCAACTTCAAACAAACAAAGGCAGATTGGAGCAGGACGTGGAAATGGAAATGGATGAAGGCCAAACGACTGCAAATAATGGTTGTGCGGAAAGAGAGGGAAAATCATAGAGACAGAGAAGGAGATGGTGCGAGAGAGATAGAGATGGATGGACTGGAGGAGATCCGCAGAATCCCTGCCGGGCATGAATAGAAATCCTTTATGCTTAAACTTGTCGTTAGATTAACGCAAATGTGGCCGCGCATACCAAATCCAGATGGGCTAAAAAATATCTGGCTCCAGATGGATACCTGTTGGGTGCCACGCCCACCTCCCATCGACCCAACACACACACACATGAGCCTCTGGCATACACAGGCATATATGCGCAAGTGTTTAGCATACAAATTAGCTGAGCCGGAAATGCGAAAATCACTTTTTGGCAACACCATTATCCAGTCTATTGCCCTTGCCCTGTTCTTTATCTGTTTTTGCTTCTTTTTTTTTGTTGGTTCCTTTTCGGATTTGGCTCATCCCAGTGTGTGTCCTTTTTGCCGGGAGCTCCTTGGGCAGGATCTCCATAAAACCAAAGTGTTAGTTGGATAAAAGAAAATTCAATTTGTTGGCTTCAAATGCAAATTGACTTTTTACTTTCTCTGCTTTGCGCTGCTCTCCTACTTCTCGGTGCTATCCGAGCCTGACTAAATTGACCTTAAATTGTCAGGAATTTGAAATAATGGTCTAATTTTTAGCAAGAAATATTATCGTCAACCGCCCGGGGTGTGATGGTTGGTTTGGTTCAGACCTTGCAAGAGCTGGCGCTGTGAGAGAAAAAAATGTAGCCGCAAAACAGACAAATATTTTGTGTTCAAATGAACGCATCCATGTCATAGATAAAACTCGAAATGAAATCTGATATTCAAAAAATTCTCGCACTGATTTCCCTGTCATAGCCCCAGGCAATGCGGTTGTTATTGTGCGGTCCAGATAAATATTCGTATGCCATTTCATATCAATTACAGGACCAAGCATATCCTCCGATGCCCTCGACTGACATTTACATTGTTCATTTGGCCTGACTCTGTTTCTTCCGGTATGCAAACATGAAATTTAATTAACTTTTTACCCCGAATCCACAGTGTTCAGTGTGTGTGGGGGGATGTACGGGTCGGTACGGGTATGTGGGTTCCTGGAAAACCCGAAACGAAACCAAAAACTCAGCCAGAACGAATGCAAAAGTTTTCTCGTTAAAAAACTTGACCAACCGAAGAAATTTTCCGTCTGTTGGTGCAAGTGTGGTAATTTTTTTTTCGCCCATTTCAATGGCCAATGGTCAGCAGCCACAATTTGAATGCAATTTAGTGAGTAATTTGAAATGCAGCAGCCGCATGAAACATGCAAAGATCTCGGCTCATGTGTGGCCCTGCCCTTTGTGAATGGGATAGAAAGTTTTTGCATTTGCCGCCGCTTGACCTTTACCCTCTGCCGCCTCTGCTCCCAGAAATTACACACTCCAACTAGCTGGGAGAAACTTATATGTTTTTTCTGAGTGTGAGCTCGTATTCATATTCCATGTTCATATTCACATTCTCCCCCTTTTATGTTCATGTTCATGGTCTTGGCCAAGATGGTCTTGGCCGTGACTTACCCACAACTTGCAGCTGGACTCGTGCACTGACTTTGGGCTCTGTGGAGACCTGGCACTCGTAGGATCCCGCGTCCCGGGCCTGAACGTATTTGATTTGCAGAGTCCAGTACTTATCCGGCTGCTTGATGGCCAGGAATCGCTGGTCGGCTATGAAGACAGCTCTGAAAAATATGAAAATAGAAAACTTTAAGTTACTTTTCTGATAATTTGATACTTTTTGCATAGTGTTTTTCAAAACAATCAAATATTCGTTTACCAAGTAATTACGTAATTCTATATTTATGTTTTTTTTTTTTTTTTTATTTTAATTGTATTTAGATTTAAAATGAAATTGATATTTATTTCTAATTATTGTAAAGAACATAATGAAGCCTTGCATGAGCTTTAGTTTCATAATTTGTTTCTGGTTCTGAAAAACGAAAACTTTTAATTACATTTTTGATAAGTTGATACTTTTTGCATAGTTTTTTCAAAACAATCAAATATTTTTCTTCTTATTTTACAATAGAACTGGTTTTATTCTAATGAAATTGATATTTATTTTCTAATTATTTTACAAAACATTGTGAAGCCTTGCATGAGCTTTAATTAAATAGTTTGTTTCTGGTCTTGAAAAATGATTTAAAAAACGAGTAGATCTGCAGTTCTGGCCATTTGGAAGACATAGTTGCAACTGCAGGTGCCCAGCAGCCATAAATTCTCCGACTTTAAGCGCACATATAGCATGAAAACTAAACAAACGAACAATGGCGGCAGACCCACTTAGCCGAGTCCTCGCTAAGTCCGCTACTAATGGCCACTCAAAAGACACTCAAAGTTATTTAGTTGCGGCATTTAAGCGGCACCAAGCAGTCGAAAGAGACGGCAGCCGAGGGATGAGGGAGAGGAGGCTACATGGTGAAAGAGTTGACAACAAAGTTGCGTGTTTGGGGCAGCAGGCAGCATGCAAATGTTGCGGGGTATGTACTTCGCAGTACTAAAATAAGTTGCGTTTAATGTCATTGTTGCGATATATTTTTGTCCCTTTCCCTGTCCCTGTCCCAGTCCCAGACTCAGAACCCCACCATTCCATTCAAAATGTGTTGCATGCCTCTAGCTCTCCTAAAATTGCCCTCTGCACTTTGCCTAAAGTGCAAAAATGTTTCCGTCATTTGGCTAAAATGCAGCAAGCGCCTGGCCACGCCCACTGCACACATGCGTTGACATTGCTTATTATTCGCCCCCGAACCGTCTCTTGACTTGGACCCTCCTTGGACAAGGCCCTTCTAGCTTGTTCCCCTACCTCCTAGCTCCATTCTCCCACCCTCCCACGATGAACTAACAAGTTTTGATGCTAAACCCAGATTAGACCCTTGCGTTTTGCACTCGTAAAGCTCGACATTTTATGACTTTTGCCATTTCCTCCGAGTTCCTTATCCCACATCCACCCCCTGTTCGGGGCATCTTTTACCCCCTACTACCCCTAATCCTGCCCTACCCCTTTCCTTTACAATCGTGTCGCTGTATTTCTTATCAAGATTTTGTAGTTACTTTATAATTTTCATTTCATTTTAAAGTTTTCCCAGTGGCGCTTGACTTTTCCCTTCCCATTCCTTGAGTTACTCTGCTTCGTTTATATTTTTTGTTGCCTGCTCCTTATTTGCCATATTTTTGTGCAACTCCTTTTGGTGTCCTCCCGTTTTGTGGCATGCTCAAGTGCCTGGAAGTGACCCGATGCCGCATAAGTTTTCATCTGCAATTTATTGCCCCGAAAGAGAATTCTGTGCGCCGTTGTCCTTTGGATTCTTTGACACGAGCCACTCTAGCGTGGGTACTTGCTTCGTTTGTTGGTTGCATGCAACAAATACTCTCCTTAAATGGGCTAATCAAATGGTTGGTCCTATCTAGATTTTTCCACATTGTTGGATTAAGTTTTAGAGTTTCCGGAGAGCTTGGTTTTCTCCTCTTCAGTTACTTTGGCTGAAACCTACATACATATATCTAGACTTGACCAACATTTTTGAGAAGACTTCAAATAAACCTGTCTTTCTCTTTTAATCCTTCCCTAATATATGTAATAGTTTCTTTATAAAGCCTCATTTTATTTGTATCTTACATTGAAAAATTAAATATAATTGCTTTCTTGTGACATCCTGGAATACATTAAAATAAAGAAACATGCATCCTTAAAGTTGGGTAATTTCCGGGCACACCTCTGGTGAATATGTTAGTCAGCTTACATATCAACTTTTGCCGGAATTTTTCGTTTTAACCTCAAAAGGATCTGCCATGATTTTCCTATCCTCCTTGTCTCCTGCCCAGTCCCCCTGATGGGAGAATTTCATTTCCTTCAGAGTAGCTATCTCATCAGGTGCTTTTGCAGCTTGTTGCGGTTGCTACTCGTAGAGAGAATCCCATTAAGAGGAAGCTCATCTCCTGCTGCACATGCACATGTAACTCGTGCCATGGGGCAACTTGCATGCATTGCGTCTCGGTCTCGGTCTGGGTCTGAGTCGGGATCCGTAGATAAGAGATAACAAAGTAGCCGGGCAACACCTGGCTGGGTAATTACCTCAACCGCCACCACCCAAGGATACCAAGGGGTGTAATCCATTGTGAGAGTGCCCGGGGGCGGCTATAAATTGAGGAAGGCATGTGTCCAGCGGCAAACAAAAGGCGCCATTGCACGTGACATTTATATGATAGTGTAAACACATCATTTGCGCTATTATACAACACACTCCCCGTCGGAGGATGTTGGCTAAAAGTTTTTGAAATCTATTCCCATTATGTTTGATATGCCGGGGACTCCTTGGTAAGGACAAACAGTTGGGGCTTTCTTTTCGAGCGGTGGCAAAAAAGAAAACTTTCCAGATAAATGTGACAGAAGACATTGGAGCAGGAAAGGCACACAGAGCCACAATCAACTGGCAGCGGAAGAGGAAAATGCAGGAAGACCACTGAGAAGCAGGAGGGGTCGGCTAAGGACTCGAAGACAGTGCCATGACACTGCACACTCAGCTGGTGGGCACTGCAGGAAGCAATCAGTAAGGACACTATCTCAGCTAAATTTCAATGCTCGCCGCCCAGCAATGTTTGCCTTCCAACAGTCATTCATCTATTCCTGCCCAGCCATTCATCCTTCCTCACACAGATACTCACAAGCACACAGACACATTTTAGCACAGAGCCGCACACATATGGATGCTACTCCTCCACGAGGACAAACCGGCTGGCTGTCTTATCTAATGTGAAAGGTTCATTGGTTTTACTTTTCTATCAAAGTAATAAGCTGGAAATGTTTGCCTCGTCCCCTGAAGCTCAATACGCCCCCAAATGGCAAACGTGTCTAAAAAGGAGGAGGACACTTAAAGAAACCAATGATTAATGGCATAGTTTTTAACTTTTACAACGTAGAACTCTACTTTCTTTAAAAAAAGTACACTGTTTAATCAAAAAAATATATATTTTATAATTTTTTCTTTTCGTTTTTTTGTCTTATTTTTATTTATCAGTGTAGACATGGATAGACAGGAAACAACAAGCTGAGACGGTGACAGTTTGAAGTAAAGTTTTACTGGATTTAGAGGTAGGGAGAAAAAATGCAATGAAATTGCACACTTGCGTTTCCGCTTGGCTTGTCATACAGGGACTGAACTGAAAAAAGGACATCTCGACATCGGGCATACACATATATACTATGTATATCCAGGAGAAGAAATCCAGGAATGGCACACCTGCATCTTCTGTTCCTAAAAAGGCAGATTGAAATCGAAAAGACTCTCTCCTCTGGCAAACTTTGAGCTCTTAATTCATTTTGTTGTAAATTGTTTTTTGTCTCGATTGAATTTGCACAAAAATCGAATAGAAAGGACGAAGCAATGTTTTAAAATAAAGAAAAAATACTGCCAAGAAATAGGCTACAAAATGGCCAAACAAATCCGATATGCAAGTTTGCATTCGACAGAGTTTAGCTGCTCAAAGATTTAAATCTGTGATTGAAATATTTGTGTTCGGGTCAATAGTTAACCCCAGCAGTGCCCCTGGGAGTTGATCACTTTGCCGGACAGCTGGCCCGTCATTAATTTCAGATTTTATTGCAGCATTTTCGCAACTCATAATATTATAATTGGCAAATATCATAACTGCTGACTGCCATTCATTATTCTCATGCATAGCCAGGAATGTCTCAGACAGGACGACAATCGGTAAATCACTTGCAAATGTATATATTTGTATCTGTGTTAATGCCCGGTGTATGAATGCAGAAGTAGCAGATGAAATTGCTTTCGGGTTCGGTAATTACACAAATATTTATGCCCGTCTGTGAATTATTGTGTTTATAGCACTTGCGCTGTCAATTACGCAAAATAACAACAGTGGGTCCCAAGGCAATCATGGATGCCTTAAATTGATATCAATGATTCCGAAGACAGTGCTGGTACTGGGGCGAAATTGATTTGTAATTGTCAGCAGATATCAGGAAATGAGTTTGTTAATTACCTGTCAACGGTCAAGATGTGTCCATCCCGAAGCCGAATCCAGGAAACTGATTTGTTTCCCAGCTGCTTGACCTGCAAAGAAGATGTAAACAAATGCATGAATTAATGTTTAATTGAACGAGGATTTAATGGAGTGGAATCTCAGTAGCATTGAATTTTAGAGTTCAAAGGTCATAGAACTTAAAGTGTAGACAAATTAAATAAAACAAATATACATTTTTTTTAAATTATTTTCCTATATTTTCCTATTACTATAATAAAGTACAGAAAAATTGGAAAATCATTCACAAATTTGATAGATTGATTTGTTGATGTACGATTTTCTGGGGTTATTTAGTATTATTTCCTTACTAAATAAAAGCCCAAATGAGTTTTCTGTTTAAGGTAATATAATTTAACAAAGCTCGTTAGTTAAACTTAATAATTTTAATATGTATAAGTACTTGTAAAAACTAAAATTACTCTTGCTAACATTTAACTTATGTATATATTTGGCAGCTGCTCTGAATCGCATTTAACTAAATCGGAGGACAAATGCAAACTCCTTGCTCCATTAACAATATTGGGAATCCCTGGTGATTAGGTGGGCCGAATGGGAGGCTAGGCTGCTCAACAAGTGGAAGAGAAATGTCAAAGTGCCGCCGCACACACGAGAGTAAATTACTGCAACCGAAATGCAGGCGGGCCGGAAGAGGAGGGCGGGCTTGCCGATGGCCACAGAAACTACATTGAAATGTAATTAAATACCGAAATGAACATGAGAACCGGCAGACAGATAGACATTGCCACATAGGCTCAGACTAACTAACTAACTAAGCCACAGAGGGACCCAGTCAGAGGCAGAAAACGAGGCAGAGGCATCCGCATGTTTCAGATATTATCGAAATGTGTTGTAGTTAGTAAATCTAAAAGGCATTTATAGACGCACCCAGCTGGTGGTGCTGCACTCTGTTTTCCCAGCAACGGCTCTGTCCAGTTGACACTGTGGCCCCAATATGAGCTCCAGTGCCAGGTAGGAGGAGTGTGCCTGCTATAGGGGATCCATTAAATGTTTAGTCGCTGTCACCGCCCTGTAATTCCGATGTAATGGTCTCATTAGGCGCTCGTTGCATGTGTCGCATTTAATTGAGGCCGAAACTGAAGCAGATTACTAATTTAGTTTTGTGGAAAATCTATTTCGATTTCCCAGATTACTTTTGATTGCATGGCGAGTGCATTGCATCCGGAAGCCGGATATATTCTCAATTTAATTGAAGCTATTTTGGCCCCGCTCCTGCATTCTTTGGCCGGAACGAAAGTTAAGCTCTGACAATTACAAATAAGCTGCTGCTTGGAATATTTCAAATAAGCCATTTAGTCCCGAAAGGATGTACTTCACCTGATGTCATCGAATGCCCAAACAAGTGAGGCCAATTTGAAAAGAAGCGGACTGAACACTGAACATTGAAGACCAAAGACCATTTCTTGTCCTGTCGTTGTCTGAATCGTTGTCGTTGACGTTGTCCCTGCCACCTTCCAGCCCTCCTGCTGGTACTAAGAGGACTCACTCAACTGTGGCACTTAATGCAGCATTTGAACAGAGAATGGAATGAAAGGCGGCCCAGAGACAGAGGATGGCTGGGTGGCTGGATGGCGAAAAAGGAGCAGCCAGCAAACTGGGCGTGTCATCCTGGACGGGCATAAAGTGTAAAGCCAACGACGAGTAATTGACGAAAATTGAGATGCGAGCCTTATACTTTTCATTTCGGGATCGGCAATTGATGGGCTGATGGCCCGGTGTCCTGATGCCCTGTTGGGCTGAGACGGGTGGGTGTCGCGGGCGTGGCCAGGCCAGCTGTCTATGACTTTGCGGAGAAGCACTTAATTGACCATGACATCAAGAAATTAACATTGCTCGGCTGGAAAATTACAGAACAGAACAGACGTTGCATTAAGGATTTTCTTCCTTGGGCGGGATTAATGGGAATTTTCCAATGTTTTGTTTTCTCCAAGGAATTTAAGCTTTATTTAAATTCATCCGAATTAATTTTATTTCCGCAGGCATTTGTTTTCAAAAGAAAATCTTTGTTTGCAGAAGTTGGGGTGACATTTTATTAAATTCTAAGCTGAAGCTTTATTTTTCTGAAAATATTATGCCTGTGTTTACAAATCTTGTTAAATATATTTATTCATTGTTTATTTACCGCTCACAACTAATGGCCAGGGGACTGGCAAATACTTTAATCCCCGGTTCAATGATTAAATTGAATAAATACTAAATAATTAGCCGTGAATTCCCATTGGCAAAATAGTCACGTTGCATGGCTGACCCCGACACCTGACCCCACAAAACCTGGCGAGGCGCCGATTGCCATGGCATCGTAAAACTAATTTGTTGAAATTTAATTTTCAGTTTTCGTTTATGCTAAATAAAATATTTACAACTTGTAAGCAAACAATTTGCCTGGCTGCGTGCCCAAAGCCGATGCCCCCGCTCCATCGCTTCATCGACCCGCCCCCACCAGGATATTCCTGCTGGCCTTTAAACACCTGCGCAAACAATGGCCGAGCGTGTGAGAAATCGCCCGAGAGAGTCTTGGCCACGTTTGTTGGAATTTGTTTTTGAGCCTTGCGTTAAATACACAGACTGCGGTCACACCTCGTCCGACCGAGAGGCATGAGTATGGGCCAGGTCCGTGCTAGGTGGGGTGGGCCGCAAATATTTACGCAATAAAATTTAATGTGTTTTCTATTAGGACCCCGGACAGGTATCGCTGATGAGGGCAGGCATCACAAAAACAACACAAATAATAATAATTACAAATAAAAACACGCACGCACTCCCAATTCCAACACGCAACGTGGCCAGAAATAACAGGTGAGCTTCCTTAACTCAAACTGGGATAAAAATTGAATTTTTATTGCCTTTCATTGAATTTTGTAAATTTTTTAAACCTAAACTAAGACCTTTTAATGTTATGTTTAAAGGAAAAAAACAATTCTTTAAAAAAAAGCTAAAACCATAAATGTTTGTTTGTTCTGGCCAAATAACTCAACATCGAGCCTGAAATTTATGAGTCCTGCCATATTTCCGCTCAATTTAGTTCAAGCCAAAGATAATGCGACTTGGCAAATTCCGAGTTAGGGAAGTTCGACTGTACACGCAATAAAAGGAAAATAAACAAGAAATTATGAAATTTATTTTTCTGGTAGTTTGCTTGTCTCGGAATTGGAAGTGGTTGTGGTCGTGTGGGTTTGTGGGTATCTAGCTATGGTATGAAGCACTTACCCGACAGGGCAGATACGCATGTGTTCCAATCTGAGTCGTCACATTGGAGGTTGCGTAGCCATCCAGATACGGCTCCACCAGTCCGTTTGTCGCCGAAAGGGCGGATGCCTCCGGCAGGAGCGAGGACACTTGAGCCAGGCTGGAGAATGCGGTCGCCGACGATGATGGGTCGCCGCTCTCATCGGGGCTGATGGCGGAGCCTCCTTCTGCGGATCCTGCCGCCGCTGTCGCAGCCGCCGCCTCGGCCGATGTCTGAGTGTGAGATGCTGAAATTGATTTGGGGCCGGCCCAGAGAACGAGAGAAAAAGTAAGCGAAAAGTGGATTTCATGTTAATCGAAATGACAATTTTGGGCTTCGATTTCGGCAAAGCACATGTCACGTACACAGCGCTACTGATGTGGGTGGTTGGGTTCAGGGGAGGAGTGTTTCGATGGGATTGCCGAAATCCCATCAATTGGGAATTAAAGCTATGACGAAGAATCGACTTTAATTTGCATGTGGCTTTCTAAAAAGCAGGCTTACTTTACTATTTTCCATAGAATTTATTGGTAAGCAACTTAAATACTTGTATTTACCAACAAATATTCTTCAAATTATAAAATAATTTTAATAAAGAAAACTAACAATTATTTAGATGAAGTTACAAAGCCCATTAACGTCTTCAAAATTTGAGATACTTCAAAGATTTAAATTAAATTCTCACAAGCTTATCAGGTTTGGCTTAACCAACTTCGGTAAATTAATGGTCAGAATAATTGAAATAACAAATTATTGTGCTTGAGGGTTCACTTAAATTTAGGGAGCGGTACGCATATTTGAGGCTCTCGATAATTCCCAAAACCACATTAACTTGGACCACCAGAGTCACGAGCAGCAGTGACAAGTTAACAACATTAAACGAGGTCCTGGCATGAGGATAATCCGGAAGCCAGAGCTGCACAAAACCGCCAAGTCAGGAGCAGACAACGAAGGAGGCCGACCACACGGGGTGGCTAAATTACGGGGAGAAGCTGGTGGGCCACCTCTGCAGCTGATGGGCCATCCTGTGGCTTCCTTTCGCATCAAATACACGCACTGGCACTTGTCTGTTTGGCAAATGCCAGTTTTTCGCTTTTCGTTTTTCGGTTTCAAATTAATCAATGGCGAATGAGTGGCTGGCGGGCGACATCGTCGCCATCATGATTTTCGCACTGCCACAAAGTTTTTTAATGGATGCCGTTCATTAAAATTGATTGTTGTTTGCCGGGGTGGAGCAGGGATGTGCGAGAAGCCCATCCTAAACTCTAGCCCCCTGGCCACCGCACAGCTTCGGACCAAATTCGATGAGTTGGCTATATGCGGAAGGTCCGCTAAAACGCATGCTATTTGCTGAATTGCCAATTAACTGGCAATTTCGACCAAAATCGAGGAACGGCAACCCCCTTCGTCCTGCCAATAGCAATTGATTTTTTCCCCCGCCAGAGCCCTTATTTCAGCCCGATGACTGCACAACATTTTCGGTATAAAATTAACTTTTGGGAGGCTGGAGTCTGGCGTTTAGAAGAAAGCGGTTTACGAGTTTTGATTTTGACATAATTGCGCCTGCCACTGACAGTTTTGATATTCCCTCGGATTGCGTTCGAAATTCGAATCGACTGATACTACAGATATGATATCGCATTTGAATTTGCAGCCGCAGCCCAGTCGACTGGAACTGCCGTGCCGCTAAGCACTGAGTCTGGTAAAAGGCTAATAGTTGACAAAAGGATTTTACAATTTGTATGCCAATCAAGGTGGATGGACAGTTTTAAAATTTTTAGAATGAAACCAGGCTCTACAAATGACAAGGGCATAAAAAGCAATCATATCCTGCATAACCGTGGCTGGATTTTTGTTCCAATTAAAACGACGAATGTAGCGTAAAATGATTTCGAGTTTGACATCACATCATGTACGTCAATTTAATTGGTGCTAGCGCATGATGGCCAAAAAAGGTGCCAGTACCAGTGGCAGGCGCCGAAGCAAGAGCAGGAGCAGTGTCCGTGGCATTGGCAGTGAGTTTCAGGCGTATTCATAGCTGAAATCAGCAATCATTTCATCGAGCCCCCTTTTTTTCTGGCATCTGATGCCTACATATCTTCCCCTTCTGGGCACCCACCTTGCCACTGACGAGGAGGCGTTGCCACGGCAACGGCAGGCAAAAAAAAAAAAAATAGTCATTGAGCTAGGGAACTAGGGTATTGGGTTGGAGGGGCGGTAGCGTAATTGACAAAAGGTTTCATGCATTGAATGTCGGAGTCGGTTCGGCACTGCCAGCCAAGTGTGAGGAGCGGGCCAGAAGGACACAGCCGCTGGCAACCCATACACATGCACAAGTACACAGCCACATACAATCAACGCAATCGACACGCAAAAATTGGAGAGAGAAACACGCCGAAAAGATCAAAGCCATTCGATTGTCAGTGACGACAGCCCGAGAGGCTCCTCGGATGTGGCTGGGGGTCCTTTTGGAGGTTGGGTCCGTGATTTGTCAAAGCAGAAAGCAGCCCTCAAGGCTGCTGCCCCCGCCCCAATGTTTAGCTCAACTTTCACCAAATAAAACAGATGTCTGAAATTTGCTTAGTTTGCATTCGCTCACGAAACAGTTGATTAACGTGTGGCATGGCGAAGAAAACGGATCCCAATCAGGACAAATGAGAGTGAAAACGCAAACAGGGACAGGAGCGAATCGATTCGCTACATATGTATGTCTGGCTAAACTCGTTGTTTCAACAAATGATTGGTCATGTTGCAGCTGAAAGAAATAGCAAAGCTGCAGTAAGAGATATTACTCATACGCCCTGTGTGCATCAGTGAATATACCGTACCCCACAGAAAGAAAATTGACATAAAATCTACAAAATATTTGCAATGCTGATTTTTATGGCAATAAGCAAAAATTTGATCTACAAATTGTTTAAGGCATACATCTCTTGAATCGGATGGTTTTTGGCAAAGATACAGCGTTTTCCGCGGCTCGTACCGTAAGTAAATAAGCAACAAGCAAATTTTAAAATGTCTTTTGAATAGTCTAATGGTTCTTTTATCAACCTGGGTAAATATGAAGAATCTCATCAAGTGGTTCATTTTCTAAGTATTTTCAGAATGACAGAAAACTCAAGTTTTTAGGGAGTTTTTTTTACACAAACACACACAAACCAAATTCCAAATCTCGGCTTGTATTCTCTGACGGGCTCAGCCACGAATCGAAGATGTGCAGCCCCTGCTGTGGATCTTGCTGCGCACCTTGCTGCAGCCCCTGCTGCAGCCCATGCTGCAGCCCATGCTGCAGTCCGTGCTGCAGCCCCTGCTGCGGTCCGTGCTGCGGGGACTGCTGTAGCCCGTGCTGCAGTCCGTGTTGCAGTCCCTGTTGCGCTCCGTGCTGTGCACCTTGCTGTGCGCCCTGCTGCACGCCATGCTGCGCACCCTGTTGCGCGCCCTGCTGCAGTCCGTGCTGCAAATGTTGCACACCTTGCTGCGCGCCATGTTGCGCTCCGTGCTGCGCCCCCTGCTGTGCCCCGTGCTGTGCCCCGTGCTGCGCCCCCTGCTGCAGTCCCTGCTGCACGCCCTGCTGCAGTCCTTGTTGTCCGCCCAAGTGCAAGTGATCCGAACCGGGAGCGGGATCGGAGGTCGGAGGCAATGTCACAAATGTCACCACAAGTTCGTCGCGCCCGTTGGAGAATCATCGTCAGTAAGCAGCTCAAACCAGCTAAGGCAATCAAATACACGAGAAGTCAACATCAGGCCAACTTTATTTCACTTTGCTAAACGAGGGGGATGCTAAGGTGGGGTGATACCATCAGCCATCTGCTTCCAGGGACATGTTAATGAAGACACAGATTAGGAGATGTAGCCCAGGTAAAAGTTGGTCATTCCAAGTTATTCCAACTAGTGCTGAAGGAAACTTTTTGGCCTGTTCCAAAAATTAATTAAAATATCAGTTTCAAGTTACATGACAGAAACACAAACACACAAGAAATTACATAAGTCAGGATGAGTCAACTGCTTGGCAACCCAATTAGCTTATACCCTTAAGAAGGGTAAGTGAGAATCTGAAGTTGTCGTTAGAACTTTGGTACAGAGAAGTTAAACATGATTTAAATTTTGACGATTTAAGCTTTTTATATCATTAAATAATTAGCGAGTAAATTAATTTTACCGGGTATGTCAATCAGGGCGTATGAGTAATATAGTCTTAGATTTCATTCATATAATATTTTATCAAAAATTTTATAATTTAAAACTTTTATAATTAATCTCATATTATTATTATTTAAAGTATGTTGTGACTTAAAATTTGAGTTAAGCTTTCCATTTTTTAACTGAAAGATAATAACAAAGTCGTAATCCCCAGGCTGTTGGGCGTATGTTTTTGAGAGCGTGTCCTTACCGGAAGTTATTTGCTGGCCGACGGCGGCAGCTGACACAACTTTGCATACTTTAATTAAACATTTTACAACGCATTTGTGCAGACAAAGTGGATTCTCGTTAAATGTCTCAATGTTGCCTGCAGTCGTGTGCCATGAGTACAAAAAAAATAACTTGCCACATGCTGCTTAATAATTTCTCTTGAAACACTGCCAAGGCCTGCGGCATGTGCTCCTCCCAAGATCCCTTTCTCGGTTGGCTTGTACTTTACTTTTGCTGGGCAATGGGAACTTAATTAAGTTTAATTAATACTAGAAAAACACCCAAACACATGGAAAAGGATGGCAAGAGGGCCATCAGAGAGAGAGAGGTAGGGATATGTAGGTATATTGACAAAAGGCCAATTGGTATGCTTAAGGAGCCATCTTGCATGTGTGTGCTATCTGAGCCCATCGACTTGTGGCCCCAGAAAGGAGCCCAGTGATGGCAACAGGAAATGAGTTTTCAAAGGCCGGAAGGCAGTAATTATGTGAGTCGCTTTGTGTCCCTCTGTGTGGACTGTTAATTGGTCTGGGAATCGACGAACCGACGACCTGACGAGCCGCTCATGCGACGACTTTACGATATTTCATAAATTGCAATTTTACGATGTCCCCAAATTGAAACCAAATTGCAGGCAGGCTCAACCTTGAAATCGCTTGGCCTCCAGCAATTTGCATACCCTGTCGAGTCTTATCCCTGATGCCGCCTTTCCCCCCTCCCTTATTGGTTTGAGTACTTTGTGAGTGTCGACGCCATGTAACGTGGCAAATCCAATTTGGCCACGCCCAAAGGGGCGGACAAGAAGGTGGTTTCCCACATCACTGCCCCGAACAACTCTCACAATCTCAATAAAGCAAAAAAAAAATGTATCTGAACCAAAATGCGAGCAAAGGAAAAAAAATGCCTTTGGCAAATTTGTTTTTGGTTAGAAGGCAGGCGGCCCAGTGAGTGCACTGCCAAAGAAATTGGATGAGCCCAGGTGCCTGGCAGAGATTCATTGCGGATCCACATCCGGGTAAATATTTGCCTATAAATGACTCGGGGGTCAGTAAGGGGCCTTCTTTGCCTTCGGCTTAGCCTGAATTAATTAGGCCTGGAGGCCCCCGACCACATGAAATGAATATTAAATGCATCAGATGCGATTTTCCTGCAAAAATCAACCGTCTATCACTCACAGGATTGCATTTAATTTTTTCCGCAAAAATTCTTGCCAATTTCCATTTGCCATCAAACCTTGACACACCAGGGCTATCCCTTAATATTGTATGGTCGAGTTTTTCCGCAGGCCGGCCTGGTTTTAATTATACCTCCAATAATCATGACTACCAATATTCGGTTGGGCCACTGCAATAATATTTTGCCAGCTGTCCTGATTTTGACGGCGAAGCACTTGTTTTAATGCATAAATAAATATTTTTGCTAAAATGGAAAAACCGCAGGACCAACACACGTCCTTGTATATACCATGTAGAGTGTTATGCGTGTGTTTAAAAAAAGTGGCCGGCATTAGATGTCGCTTAATAAACCCTAATAGTCTGTGGTTTCGCGTCAGAGTGTCTATCAAAAACCAACCCGCTTTTAGTTGTTCTGTTTTCCCAACTATCAATTATAGCCCGAGATTGAATTGGGGAGGTAGAGCTCGCATCCGCTTTCATATTATTTGGTCTAAAGCAAAAATGGCCAGAAATAACCGCAAATGTAAGCGGCGCTGGCAGGCGAATAATGTTTTTTGCGGCCGTTTCAGTTACATTTATCTTGCTTGCTAACTCACCAAGACTCAAAAATTTCAATGATAAATGACGCATTAAATAAATAGTTTTTTTTTTCTATTCCACTAATTGAAATTTTCTGACAAGCTTAAAATGCCTTTTATTGTTAGTTGGATGATAAATTGAATGGCTTCTGACATTTTAACCTTTGGATAATTGCACTTTTTGCTTCTATTTTCTGTTTAATTTTTAGAAAGTGCATCATTGATCATTGAATGGTTACAAACCAACTAATTAAAAGGCCAGTTGTTAGATACTCTGTCTAATTTAAATTTAAAGCATTTTGCAAATGGGATAATTTATTTTGTTACCCTGATTATACACAGCTGTTGGGATCATATATATAAAGGGAAACTGAATAACTGATGACTTAAACTGAAAAACCATGACTGTGAAAGAAAGTTCCTTCTATTTACTGGCATTAATCGGACTTATCGTTGGTGGTCAAGGACCGGGCGATTGGAACACGAAAAAGTGAACCAACCAAATGGAGCAACCAGGTGAAGGTGAACCAACCAATGGAGCAGAATCCATTATAATTTCCGTTGCAACCTGCAATTAGTGATATTAAAAAATTACATATGTAATTCGGATGGCCGTAGATAATTTGCGGACAAAGTAAAATTTGTAATTTGTTAAACGTAGTCCAGCATAAAATATGTTTGTTTACTGTTTTTATATTCCATGGCCCGCTAATCTTTTGTGGGTCATAATTAATGAAATTCTCTTGTGCGGATAGAGACATTATATGTAGGTACGTAGTTGGTGCATTAAGCCCCCACACATACCATACACGGGTATGAAAAAACATACACCCAGAGATGTACAAATAGAAGGGGGCGTGGAAGCATATGGGTCATGAAACGGCTTGATATCTTTACAACGCTCTCTACCTGTGGCTATGGTTCATCCATCATTAGTTGGACACAAAAAAGAAGGATTTTATGATGTGGTAATGGCAGCATAAAGAACTCCGGCATCCTCTATGTGAGCTGTTGTGTGGGAGGATGGGGGGTACTTTTTATGTTTTATGCCTTTTGAGCAAACAAGTTGGCGTATTTTTGAGCTAAGCTCGCAGACATAAACTGTCGGCTGCCCCTTCACTGGCACACGAACTAAGCCACAACTTCCGCAACGTGTCATTCCAGCCACCCACATCATTACGACCGCACCCACACTTTCACACACCGCTCTTGTATATACACTTCTTGTCAGGCTATGTATGAGTAAGTGTGTGTTGGAGTGTGTGTAGTGCACGCACACACGTTCGGCTACTGCCTGTACGTGCTAAGTTGTTATGGCGCTCCTGTTCGTAACTCTCCGCTCTGTCGCATAACTTAGTTTTCCACGCTTAATACGGTTTTACGGACGCTGCCTTTGCCTCCGACCCGTTCCAGTCCTGCTGCCACTGCAAATACTTTAAAACGCATAAAAATTCCAACACGTCGTAACCTCAGTGCTTTTAACAACTTCTCCCCTGGCTCATCTCGAACCGGAGCTGTTCTGTTTTCGAAACCCAAGCCCGGAGTCAGCAATCAACTGCACTTTTCAACCAAAACCCGCCGTGGAATGACTCTCGCTTTGTTGCAAGTCATGCACATCAAGTGTAGTTTCTGCCCCTGTTTGTTCTTTTTTGTACCACATGGCGGGGTATAATGTATTTTAAATAAACAACTGTCGCTGAAGATTATGATATTTTGATACTTATTTAAAAACAATCAAATATCTATAAAGACATGTATATACATCAATCATAGATCTTATAACGATTACAATGCTGAACCATAATTTATTCAAAGTACCGGGTATCTCACAGTCGTTTTATAAACTTAGTCATTGTCTAGCAGTCGCGGTTTCCCCAGTCTGTTCCGCTGCAGTTAACCTGCAAAGTGGCGCAATTTGTTGATAGCAGGTGGAATTTCATTTGCACGTTGCATTTTTTTTTATATTTGTGATTTTTTCCATGCTTTTCTGCTCCTCCTGATGCCATCTAATGATGCTGCCAGCCCGAAGGTGGGGGAATATAAGATGCAATGTGGAAAATGTGGTGCATCCTAAACACGTTTTGCATGAATAATAAACGTAATTGTTTTTTCTGTGTCACAGTCGTTGTGGGGGAGAGAGTGAAAATTATGTTGAATTTAATTTTGTATTGGATTGCTGCCAGGGGAGCCATAAATATTAAATGTGACTTTTTTTCGGATTCCGACATAAAAACGGAAATCACCAAAGGTAACT